AGGTCGTGCCGGACCAATGTAGAAATTGGCTAGAACTAATGCTGAGGGACAGTTTATGATTGTGTCAGACCATTGTAGGAACTGGCTAGAACTAATGCTAGGACAGTTTAAGGTCATGTCGGACTGTTGGAGAAACTGGTTGGAACTAAAGTCAAGAGACAGTTTATGGTCATGTCAGACCATTGTAGGAACTGGCTGGAACTAATATCAGGACAGTTTAAAGTCATGTCGGACCGTTAGAGAAACTGGCTGGAACTAATGTCGAAACAATTTAAGGTCATGTCGAACTGTTGTAGAAACTGGCTAACCGGAATCAATATCGGGACAATTTAAAGGGGTCATGCAAGATTGATGTAGAGAACTGGATATTGAACCAACAAGCGTGGCACACATATAACTTATGATGTAGTGCTAACGATAATGACAATAGAAGACTGAGTATGCCAGGGGACGGCTTAGATAGTACGCCAGTGGGCAACTTTGGTGGTGCGCCAAGGAGACGGCTTAGGTAATGCGCTAATAAGATGGCTTAGAGAGTGTGCCAAAAGGAGATGGCTTAAGTAATGCGCCCATGGGACGACTTAGAGAGTACGCCAAAAGAGGTAGCTTAGGGAGTGCGCCAAGGAGGCCGCTTAGATGGTGCACCAATGAGACGGCTTAGAGAGTGCGCCAAAAGGAGGCAGCTTAGGTGGTGCGCCACAAGGGGCGGCTTAAGTTGTGTGCCACAGGGATGGCTTAGGTGATTTGCATGGTGTATAACCATGTTCACCGTGATATAGGTATAATATCCCCCTCAAACTCAAATAAGTTTGAAAATATAAACCAATTAGATATTGAAGCAGAGGGACAGATAGAGTAGAGATTAAAAAAATGTATTGCGAGTAAAAAACAAAAGAACAAAAAAATATGATAAAGATATTGGCATATGAATAAACCAATGAATAAAGAAAGAGATCACCACGAAACGATACTAACAAGAAAACATGACAGTGAAATCGGTTGATGCCCGACGGGCAACCAAGGCAAGGCTGCGGCCTACCGGTAAAACGTAGAACACCAAGAGCTTAATCTATAACTCTGATACCATGTTAGAATAGTAGAGAGAGAAAATAACATGTATTGTATTGAATGAATTGTATTGAATAAAAGGCCTGCATATATAAGCTGAAAAAAAGTATCTTACTAGAAATTCAACTATGAAAAAGAGTATCATATAAGAGATAACTATGACAATACCTAATATATCTAGGAAATCAATAGCTAATATATATAGAAATATATACCATATATCCATTAACTTTTATAAATAATCTTATTGTCATTATCTTTGGAGTTGGAGTTTAAAATTTAATTCCTCCCTTTTTAGATCCACGAATAGGCCCCAAGATGTGTGTTTATTGCCAAGGCATGAGTAAATGAAACTCATAAATAAGTCTTAGGACACACTCATATTTTATCTGTAAACTATTCTGTGAATAATTTCTATACAAATAGTTTTAGGTTTGGTTTGGGAAGTGAGTTAATTTTTAACTTTTTAATTTTTTTGACTATTTTAGCTTGCGGTTAAGGCCCTTTTTGGGAAGTGAGTTATAATCCACTTCCCAGATTATAACCCACTTCCTCTTTTATAAAAAAGTTTCTTATAAGCGGCTTTTAACTAAAAAGTTGATTATAACAATCTTTCCAAAATAGTCCTAAGAAGCCTAGTTTATGAAGGACTTTTGACTTTTTTGTGAGAGAAATAATATAATGATTATGGGTTAGATGTTATATTTTTTCTTATTGAGATTAAAAATCCTATTTTATTTTTTGTAACTATTTTAACCTCAAACCCACCCAAACCCACTTTCCAAAGAACCCCTTACTCTTTTCACATACTAAGTCGGATAATGTAAACCAACTATTGCCATATTAAATTCAATTGAATTCTATAACAATTAGTTAAAGGAAAATGCTATAGGTTTTAATTTTTTTACTAATTAAATGTCTCATATGAGTGTGGGGTCTGTAAAATTACGAATCCTACACCTATGTGAAATATTTGGTCATTTATTTAGTAAAAAATTTGATACTCCTAACATTATTCATAGTTAAAAATTGAAGAAGAGTTGACTAATAGCCATTAAATTACATTTAGTTAATAGGAAAAAAAATTAAAAAATTCTGGGAAAGATGTTTCATTGAACTACATTAATTGAAAAATCTGAATTAGATTCTCCACAGAAGCTCTATGTGATGGAGGCCCCCCAACGGTTGAGAGAGAGAGAGATGTTTCAAACTTTCAAGCCATGCGCTGCTTCTAACAGAGCATGAGCATCTCTGCTCCTTCCCAAACACATCCGACTTGCTTCCATTACTGACTCTCTGTTTTTTTATTACCATTTTCAACTTTGGCCTCAATGAGTGTTTAGTTTTAATTTTCTGAATTTAATTTTTTGAAAATTGAATTTTTTATTTTTCGTATTTTTTTTATTTTTAGTGAATATTTTTTAAATTTTGAGTAATTTTTTTATTTTTTTAGATGCACCTTACTTAAATGTATCTAAATAGTAAAATATTTGAGAAAAAATATTTTAAAAAATTATTAAATATGAAAAATATACTGATTTTTTTTTATATTTTTTAAAGATTTTTTTCACAAATATTATACTTTTTAAGTATATTTATGTTAGGCGTGACTAAAAATTAAAAAAAAAAATTACTTAAAATATTAAAAAAATTCATTAAAACATTAAAATATAGAAAATAAAAAAGTAAAATTTTCTGAAAATGATTTTCTGAAAATTATAACTAAACAAGCTTGTTTTCTCTGGTTGCTGCTGGTAAATTTCCCAATGCAAATATTGGGTATAACGTAATACTACATGGTGATATTATTTATTAATGAAAAAAATAGTAAAAATTATATGATTTGATTAATTTTCAAGATGTGATGCAACCATTGGATAAATTATGATGACCACTCTTGAGATTTAAAATAAATTTAATAAACTCTACATATTTACTATTATTATATTAAATTTTCTTTTAGTAAACATGACAAAAAAATGATAATATTATTTTTTAAGTGTCATATAAGTTAAAACATTAATGTAATTTACCAATAGCTATTACTTGAACAATTCCTCTGTGTTCAAGTTCAGAATTAGAAGAAGACTATAGGGATTATGGCCTCCCAATTTCTATGAATGTTATTGTTTGTCATCGAATTTTAAAAATATAGATATCATTTTATATATAAAATGACCTCTTAGTATAAAAAATATATATGTCATCCTTTTTTCTATTTTACATTTTTCTTTTTATTTTCTACCAAAAATATTTCTTCTTCTTATTTGGGATTGTTTCTATAATTTATATATCATATATATATTTTGTATATATAATAAAAAAAATATTATTCAGTATGTTTGGTTTGAGTTTTCTAGATTAAGTTTTTTGAAAATTGACTTTTTTGATTTTCGTATTTTTTTTTTAGTGAATATTTTTTAAATTTTAAATATTTTTTTTACTTTTTTAGATGCACCTTACTTAGATGTATCTAAAAAATAAAAAATTTATGAAAAAATATTTTAAAAAATTAATAAATACAAAAAATATACTGAATTCTTGTATTTTTGGTATTTAGTGAATTTTTAAAAGATTTTTTTTACAATTTTTTTATTTTTTAGGTATATTTATTTTAGGTGTGTCTAAAAAGTAAAAAAAATTATTTAAAATATTAAAAAAATTCAGTAAAAACAAAAAAATACGGAAAATAAAAAAGTAAAATTTTCTGAAAAGTATTTTTTGAAAAGTGAAAACAAGCCAGGTGATTTTTCTTTTAGAAGTGGGTTGACTTTTTGACTTTTTGACTTATTTTAGCATGGGCTAAAAAGCTTGGTTTGCAAAGGACTTTTTGAATTTTTTGAATTTTTTAATAAGAGAAGAATATAATAATTATGTGTTGAATGTAATGTTTTATTTGTTGTGACTAAAATAATTTATTTTATCTTTTATAATTAAAATAACCAAAAAAAACTCACAAAACTACTTTCCAAACGGTGCCTTATTTCTTCTGATAATAAAATCATAATTCCGTCCTGATCTGTGTTGAGGCTAAAAAGGCGAGCGAGCCTTGTCGTTTTACTGCCTGTAACATAAAAAGAGAGCCGTAAACTTTTTTACTGGTCTTCTATGGCATTTCTTTTTCGGATTTCGACCTCTCTCGAGGTAAGCAAATGCGGTAGATGATGAGTTTGACTTGTCAGTTTTGCTTTATTCTCTCTCAGAGAGTTATGAAGAGTTGTAGCCACTGGATTTTGGGACTACTCCGCTGCCCAGTAATTCTTTTTCAGTTTCAGGTTTGGTTAATATCTGTCTTTTTAGTATATATTGATCACTAAATCTAAAATACAAAAATGTTAGACCCAACTTCATTAGTTAAAGTTATGAAGCCTATTTTTTTTTTAAAAAAAAATTCAAGAGACAAATTTTATAAATATTAAATGAAAAGTTTACAACCATCAAATAATCACTCGTTGGCCAGAGCCATGTCGTATCACATCCCTCGGATGCTTGTTTGACCAACAGGAAACTATTATAAAACAACACACAGACACAGACACAGACACAGAACAGAATATGCACAAGCACATCAACAAAAATAAGCACTTTATGGAGTGTAATAAAGACGCCACGCTATGCCACAGACAACTCCTCTATTTACGCTACTCGTCCCCTGCTTCCTCTACTATTCTACAATTTCCCCATAAATACTAAAACAATATTCTAATACACTACTCCCCTTTTGAATAGAGAGCGCTTTCAATTCTCTGTCCCCCCCAAAACCTCATACCAATAAAAGTAGTCTCTCACTCCCTCGCCACCGCCACTACCACTACCACCACACCCTCCCAGAAGACATAACTCTTTTTAATCCCAACTATTCTTTCACGACTACCCTCTCTCTCTTTCTTTGTTTCTACACACACTCTCTCTCTCAAATCTGTTTTGAACTCTTTTTAATCCCAACTATTCTTTCACTACTACCCTCTCTCTCTTTCTTTGTTTCTACACACACTCTCTCTCTCAAATCTGTTTTGAGCTCGAATTAATCATAAAGTTTGAGTCTTTGTTTGTATGCCCAGTTGGGTATTTGAAAGGAAGCTTCATTTGAACCCTTCAAATGGCTGTCTAAGATTTTCGTATTTTGGTTCTACTGCCAGAGACACTCTGCGTTTGAATTGGGAATTTTAATTATGCTACTAACCTTGTTAACTCTCCTCTTCTTAGCTTCTCTTCTTGTTGTAGTACACTCCACAGACCCAGCGTTCAACGATGACGTTTTGGGTTTGATTGTCTTCAAAGCTGGCCTCACTGACCCACACTCCAAACTCACATCATGGAACGAAGACGACGACAATCGCTGCAACTGGGTCGGCATCCAATGCGATCCGAGGACTAATCGGGTCTCGGAGCTCCAACTCCATGGCTTCTCTCTTTCGGGCCATATCGGAAGAAGCCTCTTGCGATTGCAGTTCCTCCGAGTCCTATCTCTGTCCAACAACAATTTCTCAGGAACAATCAATCCCATTCTCGCCCAATTCGAGACCTTGAGGATCATTGATTTGACCCAAAACAGTCTATCCGGGTCGATCCCAGACGAGCTTTTTCGACAATGCAGGTCCTTGAGAGCAATTTCACTTGCCCAAAACAACCTCTCTGGCCAAATCCCAGATTCTTTGAGCTCTTGCTCAACATTAGAAGGAGTTAATTTTTCTTCAAATCAGCTTTCTGGGTCATTACCCTCTGGAATTTGGTCTTTGAGTGGACTCAGATCACTCGATTTCTCCGATAATTTGCTGGAGGGTGTGATTCCACTTGGAATTGAGAGTTTATTTGATTTAAGAACTGTTAATTTGAGACAAAACAAGTTCATTGGGCAAATACCACAGGACATTGGTGGTTGTTTGCTATTGAAATCACTCGATTTCAGTGAAAATTCTCTCTCTGGTGGGCTTCCAGAGTCCATGCAAAGACTTAGTTTGTGCATTTCTTTGAACTTAAGAGGGAATTCATTCAATGGTGAAGTCCCAGATTGGATTGGAGATATGAGAAGCCTCGAAAGATTCGATCTGTCTGCAAATAACTTTTCGGGTCCAATTCCAAACTCCATAGGTGATCTTCAATTCTTGAAAGAACTAAATTTGTCTGAAAATGAGTTCACTGGAAGCTTGCCTGAATCATTAACTAGTTGCATAAACCTTTTAGCATTGGATGTTAGCAAGAATTCGCTTACCGGGAATCTTCCTTCATGGATTTTTGAGTTGGGTTTACAGACTGTTTCTCTAACTGGAAACAAACTTACCGGAACAATGGAGTTCCCTTCTGTTTCATCAATGGCAGCCTCTTTTCAAAGCCTTCAGATATTGGATTTATCTTCTAATTCATTATCTGGTGAAATTCCATTAGTCATTGCGAGGTTTAGTAGCTTGCGGTTCTTGAATGTGTCCCAGAACTCTTTGATTGGTTCTATTCCTGCAACTATAGGTGAATTAAGAACAGCACAGGTTGTTGATTTTAGTTTCAATCAGCTAATGGGAAGCATTCCTTTGGAAATTGGAGGAGCAGTTTCGCTCCAGGAACTTAGGCTGGAGCAGAACTTCCTAACGGGGAAGATTCCAAGTGAGATAGAGAATTGTTCATCCCTAACCTCTTTGTAAGTTTTCTTGCACAATCTTTATTTCTTACTATACCAAGGTTTTTTGCAGCTGTATATAGTAGGTTATGTTTGAGTTCAACTCTTTGGAGTCTAGATTCTGGAACAGTTAATTGATCCACAATAGTCGTCATGCATAATCCGAAAGAACAAGACCACAAGATATATGTGGTTTGGCGGGGTGTGCCTAGGCCTCCACCTCCATAAAAGGCCCTTTATATAACACTTTTTATAACACTCTTTAGTGTACAGTAAATACAAGGCACCTTACAACAATAGTCTTGATTGAGATTCCTTCATATTGTTGTTGTCTGTTTTGATAACATAAATTGGGTTTCCTCTATATTTTCTGGACCAAATAAATAATCTTTTGTGATTTAGAGTGAGTCATTAGGGAGACCATCAATACAACATTTTAACAAACTCTAATTGTACTATTTTTCTGAACTCGACAGGGTCTTGTCAAAGAACAACTTTACTGGTCCAGTCCCTTTAGCCATTGTAAATCTTACTGACCTCCAGATTGTTGATTTGTCTTTTAACAACCTGTCTGGAACGCTACCCAAAGAGCTCACAAATCTTTCTCACCTAGTCATTTTTAACGTCTCTCACAATCACCTCCAAGGTGAACTACCTGTTGGTGGCTTCTTCAACACCATCCCTCTTTCATCCATCTCTGGTAATCCCTCCTTGTGTGGTTCTGTTTTGAATCATTCGTGCCCTTCTGTCCATCCCAAACCCATTGTGCTCAATCCCAATTCTTCAACCAACTCCAATGGCACTTCATTCTCTTCAAATCTTCATCACAAAAGAATCGTACTTAGCATCTCTACCCTCATTGCCATTGGTGCAGCTGTTTTCATTGCCCTCGGTGTAGTAATCGTCACGTTCCTTAATCTTCAAGTCCGGTCTTCTATGTCACGTTCTGCTGCTGCTGCCTTCACAATGTCGCGTGATGATGATTTCAGTCACTCCCCTACCACTGAATCCAACTATGGCAAGCTTGTCATGTTCTCTGGTGACGCTGGCTTCGTTGCTGGGGCTCAAGCACTGCTCAACAAGGATTGTGAACTCGGGCGTGGTGGATTTGGGGCTGTTTACCAAACAGTCCTTCAAGATGGACGCCCAGTTGCCATCAAGAAGCTTAACATTTCAAGCTTGATAAAGTCCCAAGAAGATTTCGAAAGGGAAGTTAAGAAACTTGGAAAGATCAGACATTGCAATCTTGTGGCACTTGAAGGGTATTACTGGACTCCATCGTTGCAGCTTCTCATTAACGAATATGTCTGCAGTGGGAGTTTGTATAAACATCTCCACGAAGAGCAGTCGAACAACTGCCTCTCATGGCAACAGAGATTCAACATAATACTTGGGACAGCGAAAGGTTTAGCACATTTGCACCAAGCGAATGTGATTCACTACAATATAAAGTCTACTAATGTTCTGATAGACAATTTGGGGGAAGCCAAGGTGGGAGACTTCGGCCTGGCAAGGCTGCTACCTACAATTGACCGTTGCATATTAAGCAGCAAGATTCAGAGTGCACTTGGATACATGGCTCCTGAGTTTGCATGTCAGACGGTGAAGATAACTGAGAAATGTGATGTCTATGGATTCGGGGTGTTGATTCTAGAGTTGGTGACAGGGAAGAGACCTGTGGAATATATGGAGGATGATGTGGTGGTGCTGTGTGATATGGTGAGAGGAGCGTTGGAGGAAGGGAGGGTGGAGGAATGTGTCGATGGAGGGCTTAGTGGTAATTTTCCAGCAGAAGAGGCAATACCCGTTATAAAGCTCGGTTTGATATGCGCATCTCAAGTGCCATCGAATCGACCAGACATGGGAGAGGTGGTCAGAATTTTAGAGTTGATCCAGTGTCCTTCAGAAGGAGAATGGGTTTAGCATGAATTTAGCTTGTAGAGATTGAGACCCCAAAAAAAAAAAATTGAAGAATGGGTTTTCCGGCGAAGAGGAATCCAGTGTGCTTGTTTAGATACAAGAAGAGAAAATATTGTTCAAGGTTCTTTCTCTTTTCAACTTTTTTGTTTTTTTTTGTTTTTTTTTTTGATTCTTGGTCTGTATTTCTGTTTTGTAATTTATTTTATTTTTCAAATCTTTGTTAACAGTTATATATTACTGGATTCCTTTTCACCGGGATTGTTCTAATGTCATGTCTTTCTACATAGCAGCGCAACCGAGTCTTTTGTCTTTTGGTTTTATTTTGTTGTGCTTGTTTTATGTTGTTGGGAAACTCATCTGATGATTCAATTCAAATCCAAATATTGTTTTATGCTGAATTTGACTTTGTTTTAGCAGACTGGTCTTTTTTCTCCATGTATCCGTAGCTTTTGCTCAACTGTGGCATTGGCATAATATGGCAGTAACAAAGGATGGTCCACAGGACCTGAAATCAAAATTATGATATTGAAGCATGGAATGACAACAGAAAAAAGAGATGAATAATAAAAAGCAGAAATATAAAAAAACAAAAAAAGGGTGAGGGATAATGAACTTAACTGCTCAACATTGATGCACAAGTGATACAGGAATGAAATGGCAAATGCATCTTATGATGCAGAAGGGCAAGAGGAGAACATGCTGCACAAAGATAATTGGAAAAAAATCATTCTGCTCTGTATGATCATTGCACTCATGCCTTATACCAATAGATGGTGGGCCAGAACCTTGATGCATAAGATTAAAAGAGCCGCACAATGCACGAGCCTCCCACTAAAATAAGGTTTGGGAAGAGTAAGATTATGCAACTATAATCTTATTTTTGAAGAGATTGTTTCCATGATGCAAACTCGCACCACCAAGACACTTACTGTTGGACCAAACCATCCTTTCAAACAAAGAGAAAAAAAATACAAAGCCTTACTTCCAGTTTTTGAGATAATCTCTTTCTGATGTGAATTCACACCGGCAAGACGCTTATGCCAAGTTTTTACTGGTGGTCCGAATTGTTCTTTCATAAAAGAGTGATCCAGTGCATAAGGCACCCACTAAAAGACAATGTCTACAGAAAGTAAGATATACACAGGCTAATCTCACCAAAATGTATATTGTCAAATTTCCTATTATACCTCCACTACTATGGCCATTAATCTATTCTATTATATAAAGCACACAACTCACGAGAATTAAAATTTTGTTACACATCATTTTGATTCAAAAAATAACCTCAAACCAAAAAGTAAAAACCAACTAACCAAAAAATTAATATTCAGGGGGCCACTACTCACTCACTATCCCAGCAGCTGCACACGTTAACATATTCTTCTAGTTAAATATATGTAAAAATTGCACATACATTTACAAAATATAATAATCAATCCATCTATTTTAGTTAGGTTGGTTAAATGATTAATGCTTAGATTTGAAGTTTTATTTTAATCAAATGGTTTTGAGACCTTAAAGGAGACCTAATGAATGGACTTTGACATCAAAAAAGAACTTCCACATGGGGGGGTCCTCGAGAGCACTTGTCCCTTTGAAATACAAACATATATAGTGCTTGGCTTATCATGTTCAGTAGTACCAGCATGCAACTTTTATTGTTTTTTTTAATTGCCAAAGCCAAAAGCTGCATCAAAATACACAAAAGAAAAACACAAGTAAAGAGATGTTTTGACTCGTACTTGGTGAATGATGCCGATCCAGGCATGCTGCTTTTAAAAGATTTAAAATTTGGAAACTATGCATCAATGAGCAAGGACGGAACCAAGATTGATACACTGGGGTTTAGAACCGGGTACATATGTATGGGTCGGATTAAGTAATGGTAATTTTACACTGTTAATTATTTTGTTCCGATAACTGGCAATAGTAAACATGGGAATAAGCGCAGTTGTGTACAAAAAGTTTCCAAACAGGCCAGGTACCCAATGAAAGTGGATATACAAAATTGAGAAGAAAAGCCTTCTTGGACATTGCAGCGATGGTGAAGTCTTGTTGGGAGAAGAACAAGAAGAATTTTGCTTTTTCTTCTTTTATGCTTACTTTTTGAGACAGAATGATGTAACACCATACAAACTTTCATTATAAGTTGTTGTACAAAATGTATAATTTAAATAAATATAAATAGATTTATATTTAGGGTTGGTTTGACATAAACTAAATAATACAAAAAGTTAAAAAGTCACTATCATATTTAAGTCATATCATCTTATTTAAATCACATCACCTCTCTAACACATCACATCAAACTCAACCCAAACACAACCCATATAAATCAATAAGTCAAAAAGTATACTTTTTTAGAATATCCCAAAACCAACCCTTAATTATATTCGAATTACAGAAAATAAAATTATGTAATTAGATTATGCTGGAGACTACAATTTGATGAACAAAAATATATATTGAAATAAGATAGTATAGAAAGCAAATTGAAACCTGTGTGATACCACAACCTCTTTAAAATAGATTTGCCGTCTCACCGTGGATGCTGGAGCTATGCCAGCATCTATCTCTCAAGATACAAGAAGTAGCTTCTATTTATTTTCGTCAAACTGACAATGGCAACACTCTGAGAGGAAGAGCCTTTCTGCAACAAATGCAGAATTCAATTCTATAAAACTGAAGAAGTAATGCAAGAAAACTAATGGATAATTAGCGTATAAGTTATACACTCCATATACATATGTGTGTATATCTGCAGCCACTAAACAGACCTGGTCCAAAAAAAAAAAAAAAAAAGAGGTTGATGAGCCACCAATCTAGCCCAACGCAGCCCAAGGATCTCCTGTCCCTAAATATTCCTGTCTCCATGTCCCAAATCACTCACAACCATTGGATATGTCTTGAGATTCTCAATTCTTAGGACTCTCATATGATCCAATGGTTGTGAGTGATTTGGAACAGGAGGACATGAATATTTGGAAACAGGGGATCCTTACTTCCCAACCCATCCTCAAACCCAAGATCCGCTAACTCGGCCCAATCTGGTGGCGCGCCCATCATTGAAGGATCCATAACTCCATTTTTTTGAAAAATTTGGATGCTCCCAAAAACTTGTATCCTTATCAAAAACTTGGGATCAAAATACTCATCGATATTTTCCTCTATAATCAATGTGAGATTAGTGGTTATAAACCATTCCCAATACCTCATTCATATGGCTAAGGCTAAGGCTAAGGCTAAGTTTGGCATGTGGTCAAAAAATTAAAAAGTTAAAAAGTTACTCAAAAAGTTAAAAAGTTATTACTATTCACCAAAAGTCAAAAATTACGGCTGCACAACTCCCAATCCTAATTTTTCCTTACAAACTAATTTATATAATTTTTTAATACATATTTTTTCATAAAAAGTCAAAAAGTTAACCCAAACAACCATTTTTTCCCTCAACTTTTTAGTCCAAAAATTTAAAAATTACACTTATTTAGGACATTCCAAATAACTTTATGAGACAATTTTACATTCAATTCTCAATTATTTTTTGTCATTCTTTTTGTGATGTAAAAATCTTGTTACAAAGAATCTAAACTCATTTAATCTCATCTCAATCGATAGCTAGGACCTATTTTAATTTCACATTAAAATCACCATAAAATTATTTTTTCCCACATAAGTACCGATTGGGAGTGAGAAATATTTTATTAGAAGGAGTAGTATATAAGGGGATTATCAAGTTTATTTTCATCAATAACCCTCATTATTGGTTTCCTCATGCAAAGAATATAGTGAAAATGTTGCAATTTTATGAGTGAGAGAGAGAGAGGGGTTAAAGAGTGAAGGACGAGTAATAATAATGGAGCGAGTGCTTGAATCACAAGCCAAAATTTGCGTTGACTGTAAGAGCATCACTCCCCCCATATTTTTCTCTCGAAATGATATTTCCCTCCCTAAAATTTGTATTATAATTTAATTTTTTTTGTTAGTCAATTATTAAGTTAATTAACAGAAAAAGTGAATATAAAAAATTAAAATTTTAAAATACTTATTTTATTCTTATTAAAAAAATTACTAGTGAATAAAGAAAATCTACAAGAACTTACAAAAATTCATTCAATGCATATATTATTATACCATTAAAAATTTAGATAATGCTATGGTACATAAACTTTTGTAGTATTAATTATCACAAATATTAATATTTAGATCATTTTCAATCATAAATTAAAAAAAAAAAATAGTTATAACTAAATACCGCATAAGATACAACAAAATATCTTTTGGATCATAACCAAATCCATAGTTATAATTAATACCATAATAAGTCATAATCAAAGATCATGATTGGGGCATATAAAATTTTCCTAAAAGGTAAATTGTTTGTCAATTTTATGTATGCAAACAAGGGTAAAGTAGATATTTTAAAAAATTAATTTCTTGTATTAAATTCTTCCGTTAGTTGACTTAACGGTTGACTAACAAAAGATCAAATTGTAATAGAAGTTTAAGCCTTAGGGAGAGGAATGCAATTTCTAGAACTTGAGAGAGTACTTGTATTAAAGACAAATCTCAAGGGAGGTTATTATCAATTTAGTTAAAATTGTAAATTAAACTTCGAAAAAATTTCTCTGATAGAATAATTATGTATACAATAACTAACTATTTTTACCTTTGTTTGGGATGTGGGTTAACCTTTTGACTTTTTTAGCTTGGGCTAAAAAGTCTATTTGGGATGGGCTTTTAGATTTTTTTAAACTTTTGTGAGAAAAAAAAAAAAATTATTATAGTTTGAATGTAATATTTTGTCTTATTGACATTTTAGTCTATTTTGTCTTTTTATAACTAAAATAGCTAAATGTTTAGCAAATCAAACTCAAGAAAAAAAATTCTCTAATAGAATAGTTAAAATAATTGTGCATAGTAATTAACAAACTTAATTTTTTATTCTTTAAGTATTTTCTTTTTCCTTTTCTCTCTCATAAAAACATTAAATAAATATTTTGAAAAAAAAAAAGATGAAATAAATAGTATTGTTGAAGTATACATTAAAAAGGTGACTAAAATAAATAAGACAAATTTATTTGCACAAACATTCTCTCTTGTTACTATGAGTCATTCTCTCTTGTCACTATGAGTCAGTTCAACTTCTTAAGAATTCACGAGGCTAACAGTGTTGTGAGAGGAGCTATGAGCCCACAACGTTAAGGTCCCACAACTTCTCTCACAACTAAATTGCAGATAACTGAAGAGGAGCCGGACCCAAACCCACTATCAACTCCATGTCTCACAAGTCCTTTTCTTAGGTTGTTACAACATGTTTCTTCATGAGGAAGCACAAATTGGTGGCTTTGTAAGAAAAGGGCTTGTACAGAAAAAGAGGGTCTGAATCAAATGATAAACCCACTAAGAATGAAAACACTTTTAATCCACAATTGATATTGACTCCTAAAAAGGAATTTTAGAAATAACCTGTACACGACTGGACACCAAATTCTTGAGATTTTTCAAATCAAAGGGGAAGTGTAAAGATATACCACATCTACGGTGGGGACTTGGAAGCACAATCAAAATGTGGGCTGCAAATTCAAAAGGTTGATTAACAGACACTAATTTGCTTTTATTTCGCTATTCGGGTCCCATCCCCATGAACAAATATCACAAAGAATCCATAAGTGATCTCCACCACTCAGCTTACAGATACAAAAATCATTTCAAGCAGTACTCAATCCCTTTTCACCAACCAAATCTCATTGTACAGACGACCAAAACTGTATGATCTTATTACACTTGCAGCAACTTCAAATGTCAAGGAAGCAAATGTCAAAGATGTTTACATTTATATTATACAGAGTACATAATTTACATTCAATTTTCCAATTTTCTCTGATCTTTGTATCTCTCAAACTGTGTCATTTTTCTTCTATAAAAGTACTGTCGTTTTCTCAATGTTGTAGTAATTCTAATCATCCCAGTCTTTTTCCCATCCTTCTCTGCTAGTAGACCTAGCAGTAAGGCCATTGGCCGAGATGTTGCCTACGTGGCGACCCCCTGGTGACTTCACTGCCTTGTCCTCATCCCAGTCATCATCCCATACCTCATCCCAACCTTCTGCAGTGTCCACGTTGGAAGCTGAAGCAGAATCCGGCAACCCCATTTCAAGTTCCCGATATGGAACTCCTTCATGCCGTTTCCTCTTCCTAAACTTGTAGCAAGCCCATGACCCCCCAACAATCAGTGCTATTAGAAACAAAAAGTAGGCAACATAGATGGGGGTCACTTGCTTATAATAAGAGGGAAGCCGCTGTAAAAAGTTGTTCCATTCAGATGGAGGAGTGCCATTGTGAAGCACACACGTCTCATTTGCATATTTCAATACTATTTTGGTGTTTTGGCCAATTGTCCAAGAGATATTGACCTACAATACAAACAATCAAATGATAAAGGTAATGCCACTTAAAAGAAGGCAAATCTGCACGTGTAATCACCAGTTTCAATAATAATCCACAAACACAATTTCTGAATCATACTAATAAAGGCCAGTATATGAAATCTGGTCCACAATTCAGAATGACGGAACCAGCACAAGGTTTAAGTGTTTGTCATATCTATTACTATTAGTATCAATATTGTCTTAGGTGGTTGCTCAGTATCAGCAGTTCCAGCAAGTATACAAAAAATAATGCATACCATTTGTTAGAATCTTGAAGAATTAAACCTGACTGAAAAATTACATCAAAATTGGGCTATAGAAAATATTAATTATGTTTATGGGATGCAGATTAAAAAATTAAAAATATATTAGATACAGTGCTAACAGTACTTAACTAATACAAACAACTAAACATTATCCTCCCCTTCCATTAGCACATTTATTTGGGGTAAGTGAGCTAATTTTATGTAAAAAATATGCCAACTGAGCACCACCCAAGTACAATTGGAGAAAAAAAAAAATCATCGACAGCTCAAGCCTCCATCGAGCTTTAAAGGGCCAAAACAAAAGCAGAAGAACCAGAGCAGCCATCAATCAATCCTTCCTCTACCAACCAGAGCAGCCGTCAACCAATCCTTCCTCTACCCCCCTATTCTCCTTCCCCTTAACCCCTACCATCATAACCGTTGATGCAAACCAAATTCTTGATGTCCCTTCCAATCTTAAGTTTGCTACCCTCACTCCTAGCACAATTCACTCCCGTCCTTGGCCTCATTTTTGCTCCAACTGTTACTATGAGCTTCATAGCATCCTTCTCAAAACCCTAGCAAGGAATCCCTAGAAATTTACTTAGCAATTTGTAGGCATATGTATCCAGATCTACATGGCTATCTCCACAAACTTGGGGTCCACAAGTCAAGCCTCCTCAACTCTGACATGGACCAACCACATCTCCATATGCTCTCCGATCGAGCCATGAGGCATAACACATTTTCCACTAAGGTCTAGGCATTGGTGAAGTTGGGCCAAGGGCGATCGACCACTTCTCCAGAATATGACCCTCCAATAAAAGGAGCCCGCTGCCTCCACACAAAGATAAGTACATAGCTGAAGTCATCTCCTTTGGGGAGCTTGAACCTCAGCAATCACTCTCCCTCTATCTCTAAAGACCACCTCAGCTTTTGCCTATCCCAACTCCAGTGATCTTGTGCCAACTTAGTGCCTACTGTAATTCCCAGAGGGCCCACAGTCTGACCACTCACCAACAACTGCCACAATCTTTAACCCTCAGTTGAAGTTCACAGATCAGATAACGTCCAGGTCCTTTTCTACAAATGCCCACATTCCCCATCCCCAAAGTTTTTCCTTCCCCTATCATATATTCATAACCATATCTGTTACACTATCCTACTGCATCCTCTATACCACCCTTTTTCCACCCCCAACCACCATTGTCCCCCTAATCCAACATGTATCCCTTTCCCAACAAATCAATCTCAAAGCTACAAGGAGTCAAGTCATTAGCAAAAATGAGACACATGAATCTGAAATCTACCCATGCCTCCACCACTTCTTCCTCTTAAAAAGGCTTCTCTAACTAGTCAAAATCCATCCATTCTAGTCTCTAAACTAGGCCTATGTCTCTGAATATAGCCTGGAGTAGAAATCCACAAATGCCCTCTAAAATACCCTCTTCAAAAGTCAACTCCCCCTCGTCAATAACCAAGTAGCTAATAATATTACACCTTCTATGAGCATTGGCATTTTATGAAAAAAGTTTTGTTATGGCCCCCTTCCTTAATATAAGTCATCCATGATTTCTACTTCCAAGTTCCAACTACTTCCAAGTTCCAACTAACCTTCTCTGAGATCATGAGTCTTCATACTTCTGCTTTCATAGTTGTTCAAGCCTATTTCTCCTCTTCTGTCAACCCCTCTCCTCCCTCCTTGTCTTCTAGCCTCATATCCCAGAAGCCTGGCAATCCTCTTTCTCACCTCAATTCTAACAAGCACCTTATTTCATGCTTTAATGTCTTGTTTTATACATCCGTAGTTTCTTGGCAAGGCAAAAACCTAGAGTGCCATCAACCTTGTAGCCATCCCACCAACCCTTCACAAAGTCCTAAAACCATCATCCCAAAGACACATTCTCATAGAGGAAATGGGAGTAATATTAACCTTTCTCAAACCTCCAAATCTTCTTGTGGTTCATACATTACCGATAAGGTTCAAAGAAAATTATTAGTATTATTCACTAGGCAAGACACAAAAAATAACACAAGAATCCCTCCCACAACACCTTCTAGCCCCAAAAAAACCAAATCAGCCCATCTACTGCCCCATGAACTCCTCATCACCTCCTGATCAATAACTTCCATCTTCGTTGTTGATCATGACCCTTTTATTGGGGTCACTGAGACTTCTCACATTCATAGAATTAATTTGATATGCATAGATATAATTCCCCTAAGATCCCAATCCTTCCACCACGTCCATCTGCAGGCCTCTGCCCTTTTTATAGTTCACTGTACTCCCAACTTCTTGAGCTCCCTCTCCTTCCTTGAGCTAGAATTAGTCTATGTCACAGTGATTCGGGTACAGATATGGGGTGCAGGTGCGTATCTAGGAGTCAGACACTTCAAAATTAAAAATTGAAGATACATAGATATGGATCCAAATTTGGATACGGGTACAGAGATACGTTAAATAATTATTTTTTAAATATATTTATTATGTGAAGATGAGCTTAAAAAAATTAAGGAATAACAGATTTTGTTAAAAAAATAACAAATAAAAATTATTTTAAACATAAAATAAATTATATTATATATGATCAAAATAAGTTATTTTTATTTTAGACATAAAAATTATATTATTTATGATATATTATATTATACAATATTTTTTTGGGTGAATAATATTATATATTATTATATTAATATAATTTATATTATATAATATAAATGAAACTAAAAAGAAGAGAAAGAGAACAGAGAGAAGAGAAGACAAAAAAGAACAAGAGAGAGAGAGGAGAGGGAGAGCAAGAGACAAGAGAAGAGGAAAAGGGAGATCAGAGAGAAGATAGAGAAGGAGATAGAGGATCAAGCATCAAGTGAAAGTCGAAACTGTTGAAGCCAGCGACCAAAGGGATCGAAGTCGGCGACCGATGTCTTCACCTTTTCAAACGGTGACCAAGTTCTCTCTTGCTCTCTCCTCTTTCATTTCTTCTTCCGTATCCATTTGTAAAGAACCATATCCCGCACCTGTACCCATGTCATGTCATGTTGTGTTGACACGAGTACCTCCGAAATTCCAAAGAGTCCGTGTAACGTAGAAATTAGTGACCATTCCTCTTCTCTTTTTATATCAACAAATAACTTCATTGCTCCTTCCCGATACCCTCAAAAGATAAATCTTAAAATTTGTTGAAACCTTTAATTTTCCTCAACCCCTTAGAAACCTCCTTATTTTCTCCCCCTACTAGCTCTATTGCAACCATACTCAATAAGTTCATTCTTCTCTCCCTCCCCAAGGCCCACCACTACAAATATAGTACAATTAAAAGGTTCAATCAAACCTAAAAATTTGCCTCCAACCCTATTGCGTTGTCAGTCTAATGTAATTGGGATCAAATAGATCCAAATAGTGCTCTATTCATCATTTTGACCTCTTAATCCTGCCTCTCTCTCTACCCCCATTGAACTTCACCCAAGACTAATAAAATAGGAGAAGAAAGTTTAGAGATGCAAAACAAAGTTGCCTTACCTTGATAGGCCTCACAACATCCTCAAACCCAACTTGGATTGGCGTACGTTTGTGCAAGAATGCCTCCTCAGTTTTCTTTTGAAAAATTCAAATTTCCTAGGTTGGACCAATGATGATATGAATTGAGGCTCATCACTTCTCCTCCCATTCTAAGCCTAATGGGTTCTTTTAGGTCCCAATCCTCACTTAATCACTTTCCGTTTCTGCCGTTTCCTTTTCTCAACCCAATTTCCTATACAAGACGTCTTAACCAATTCACTTTTAGCCTATGTTACATGGACTCGGGTACGAGTATTGGGTGCGGGTGTGTATCCAAGTGTCAAACCTTTATAAATTTAAATCTTAAGATCTTGGGATATGTATCTAAAATTGGATATGGGTGCGAAGAAGCATCATATACACATATATATTGCATATTAAATAATATTCTTGGATGGAATGTTGTAAATTATAAAGAAATATAATTGAAATTTAATAAGATTCAGAAAAAATATAAAATCTCTATATTTTATTCACGTGAGAGGTTAAAAATATTTACTTTACTAGCAACTGTGAGTTTCTTTTTCTCGTATATTATAACAAATTAAAGGATCCGAGTGTCTAAATTGGATACGAGTGTCAGACACATATCCCATGCCCTTACCCATGTCATATCCGGTGGACACGAATAGTGTGGAGGAAATAGAAAAGTCCATGTAACATAGCTTTTAGCCGGGCTCAAACCTAGGCCATTGAAAATAGCTGGTCCCATGACCAATTCGATGATAAGGCCTATTCCTGCCCCTAAAGCCCAAATACTTCACCTGATATGAAACCGGGCCCCTGCCAAACTTATCAACCCAAAAATTATCTTAGGCCTACCATTTATGAGGCCCAACAAAAACTACAACTTGTTGCCTTCTTGGCCAATATCCACAATTAAAGCGCAAACAAACCTAGCATCTTTTATTTTCAAGTCTTGTATTAAATTAAATTTTACATTTTCCTTTATTATTATTATATAGCCATGAACTAGTAGGATACAACAATGTTTCATACAACTTATGAGAGATAATAGGGTGAATTACACTAATAGTCCCTATAGTTTGAGGCTTGTGTCAATTTGGTCCCTGACTTTTCAATTGTGACACATTTGACCCTGAATTTTGAATCTTGATCCAAATAAGGACGATTGAAGATATGATTAGATTTTTCAAGGGTAAAATCGTTAATTTGATAAAATATAAATTAATTTGACAAAACTAAATGTCAAACAAATATTTTTAAATTTTTAAAAATTATTTCTACCCACTAAAAATAAAATTATGTAAAATTGATAAATCTTTTAAACATTTATTTATTTTTTTTACCAAATTAATTTTTATTATGTCTTTGGATGATGATCATGTAAAATTAATTTTAAAAAATTAATCATGTAATTTTTATTAATTTTGATCAATTTTACATAATTTTATTATTGTTGGATAAAAATAATTTTTAAAAAATTAAAAATATTTTTTTGACATTTATTTTTGTCAAATTAGTTTATATTTTATTAAATAAACGATTTTGCCCTTCAAATTAAATAATTGTATCTTCAATTGTTCTTATTTGAAACAAGATTCAAAATTCAAGGTCAAATGTGTCACAATTGAAAAATCAGGAACCAAAGTGACACGAGTCCCAAACTATAGGGACTATTAGTGTAATTTGCCCTATTTAATATATGTATTATGTTACAACTTTAAGTCACAACATATCAACATGAACATATTTGATACGCTAAACACCTTAGATAACAAAAAAAAAAATCTGGCGTATGTAATCCTGCTCTATTGTTAACTTCAACAAGCCAAACATGATCAAATCCCACTGGGGTCTTGGAACTCATCAGGATCTAGCAACAAAGAAAATATTCTCCTTTTTCTCATGAACCTTTCCTCCACTGCATTGTCCATCTTAACCATGTTTCTGATGATCCAATTTTTCTCACCTTTATAAGTCCATAAAGGTGAGATAAATGCAATGGCATACTAAAAAGTAACAAGGTTTTATGAGATCTCATTTAGTGCTTTGAACAGTTGCTCAGTAGAGAATTTCCACTAAATCACAATTCAATTCACATCAAATTTTCAAAAATGACTATAGCCTACAACCCTATCTAAAATTTCATTAATTACACAAATATCATAAAGAAATAATGAGTACTAGAGATAAAAGATGCATACCATTTTAGTTTGGTGTTTAGAGATTTCACGACTGATCGGATCATTCTTCGCAGGCGTTGTGATATTGATATTCACTTTAAGAGTGCTTTCACCTTTATTTTGGACTAGAAGCACCAAATCTTTAGACCCTGCTTCAATAAAAAAACAAAAGCGAAGGTAAAGGGCACTGCTTTCCTTCAAGAAATAGGGAAGACTATTGTGGTGTTTTGCGCATGTTTTTAGTAAAGGATAGGGAGAGAAAATGCAAAGGAGATTATTTTCTTTTTTGTTTAGTTACCACAGAAAACAAAGAGCAAAAGAAAATAGGATGAAATTATGTGAGAAATTTTTAGTTCTTGATATAATTTTTTCTTTAATTTTTGATAAATTCTTATCATTTTATAAAAAAAATTTAAAAAAAATAATCCTTTTTAAAGTTTGAGAAAAAAACTAAGGAAAAATATTCTCCTCACTTTCTTTTCTCTTACCAAGTCTAAGGTAAGTTCCAAACAAATCCTAAAGAATACACCACTAAATACATTGGTCTAATCATGGTTTGAAGAAATTATATGTATTAGAGAGAGGGAAGTGGAGGTGTCAGGTAATGGGCATAAGTTAAATTGTTGTTTTAACTTGCCTAGTTAAGGTTTGTATGGCACTGGGGGGTGTTAGGGGAAAAGGAAAGAAAAATGAGAAGAAAAACAGTATTCCTTCATGTGCCCTCCTACCAGCGATTCCTCGGGATACATCCAACCTGGTCAAGAGAACAGTAGGTAAGCTAAAAAGCACAGGGTTGAAGCAGTGAGAAAGATGCCTGCCTCAAATTTAACCAGGTATGTGGCCTTTTTGAGTAGAGAGCCCCGCGTAACTGACCCAAGAAACTGAAATAAGATTTGTTAAGTTTACTAGAATATAGAACAAAGCATCTTTTATTATAGATATCAATGTAGAGGCCATTATCCAATAATTGTCCTGTTAACTCAAGGGTTGGGAGGGTAGAATTAGGTACAAACCTAGCATCTTTTATTTTCACAAAAGAGATGTCCTTTGTAACAAAAGCTGTGTGTGCAAGTTAACAGGCCAAAGTTTGGCATGGCACATTGGCACCTACAACAGCTCCTTACAGAGATCAATGTAAAGAAAACCATTGAAGATTGAGCCATTTTTGTTTCCTAAACTTGAATATGAATGTTTGAGCTAAAGCTAAACCATAATACCTTAGAACCAAAAATCCTCATTCATGAGAATTAAGTTAAGGACCTTTCAATTTGCATGAAATACATAATTCTAAGATTTTATACAATCTCCTTACAAGAACACAAGTTATACCTAAACAAATACCAATTGTAAGCAGAATACCATTATTTCCAAAACAACATTGAAGGAGAGGATCAATGTAAATTACCACTCTCAAGACTAGGAATGCAAGCGATCATTGTCCCGTTGACATCGCATCTATTATCTGAACCCTCGCAAGTCCTATTACCACCAGATTGTGAACTGGTTTTCCCGTCCTTCTCTCCATGATTCTTATCATCATCTATCCACGCCGCAGGCGGTGGATTTGCAGAAGCTTTATTATTAGCATCATTTACAGAGCCCTTCGTATTCTTATCATCATCTAACTGCTCTTTTCCCGGCTTACCACCGTCAATTGGATTAGCTTTCGACTCCGAAACAGGGTTAGGCAAAGGTGAAATCTAAAAAAAAGTTCATGTATCAGTACTGATACATTGAGAAACAAGCAATTACATACTCAGAAACATACATATATACACACATATATATATATATATACATAGATACAGAAAGAGAGAGAGAAGAGATACATTTGTTTCAGAAGACTTATCCTTTGGCTTCCCACTGATTAATTTTCGGAAACTCCAAGCACTTGAGGGATTCGCAACAATCAAGAACAAGAAGATCACAGTGAGAAACCCATCTCTACCCATTCCACGAAAATTTCTTGGGAAATATTTGGATCCGGGTAAGCACCTTTAACCTGTGGAAATGAAATCATCCGCAGAACCAAATCGAATTCCAAACCCCAAAAGCTGGTCCAAAAAGCACATCATTTTCTTCACAAAATCATAAACCCAGTAATCATTTCTACACCAAATTGGTTACAGAAAGAAGCTGGATTTCGAATTCGAAGCTTAGGGTTTACGCAGTGCAAGAAGGAAACGCAGAGATCGAAACTAATTTGTAGTTCGAAGACGATTTATTAGATTAAGTAAAACTAGGGTTTGGGTTTCGACGAGATTCAAAAAAATGACGAGAAATTTTTTTTTTTCTACTTCTAAAAACTAATTTCGGCAAGAAGCAATAGTCAACGTGGCGGGGTTGAAGACATCTCCAATGTTTGACGGCGGCGAGGCGGTGGTTGACTGGAAATGAACATGATTTACGAGGTAGTGCTTTTGGGCTGCTGGCCCCGTTCAGTTAACTCTTCTCGGGCCTTTTACTCTCACTGAAGGGTGGGTTCACCAAAGACTCTGCCCGAATTCGGCCCATGATCTGCTTTTGTTTGAATTTTTTTAGCAACAATAATTCAGCCCACTAATTTGTTTAGTGAGAATTAACTGACTTCTAATAAAGTGAAAATTTTAAAAATATATATCTTCTATCTATACTATTATAAAGTGAACACATAATATGGTGTCCTGAAGCTTGCTTTACTCTCCTCATGCCATGTGGCAGTATTTTTTATTTTTTTTAAAAAAAATTAAACAAAGAGATGGGCAAGGCTTGAACCCATGACCATGGATTTAAGTATAAGGACTCATACCACTTAAGCTAAATACACATTATAATATTAATTTCATTATTATTTTCTTTTATTCCTATTTATTTAAATTGCACACACATCGTGTATGCCTCAGCCGCTAGTATATATATATAAGAGCAGAACATCCCATCATGTGGGACTCACACCACTTTAGAGATATTAGTGTTCCTTTTTTTAGTGATCTCACTCATTTTTCTTTTTGTAGTAGAGTTCATTTTCTACTCACCAATGCTCTACTTATTTAAGAAAAATATTTCGAATTTAAAATTTATAAATACTATCTATTCTATCATCAATACCATATTAAATTCAAATCTATATTATAAATTTTATTTTTAGATCACATGTGGATCCCGTATCATTAGGGACTAACCATTTATCTCACATTTGTATTTTATTCTGTAAAACACAATTATATTTCTAGAATTATTGATGTTTATATCAATAAGAGGGGAGTGAAGAGAGTGTCGATTACAAGTCAAAGCTCCCACAAATTAATTAGTTAAGACATAGATACCAAAAAATTAAGAGTTAAATGAAAAGAGAAAGGTGCTATTAGCACTTCTTTTTCAACAAAAACATTTTGAATTGTCTTTATTAAGTAATTTTTTGCATAAATTTAAAAGTATTTGGTGCCCATGGGATATTATGTGGCTAATGTCACATATAAATCATTAAATGTCATGTCTCCTATTATCTCTTCAATTTATAACATAAAATCGTGAGTTTCATTCTTTCTATTAGTTACAATCTTTATAGAGCACCACCTAATAATGCTCGATGAGCATAAAATAACTTCTCTTTTGCAAGGAATGATGTTTGTTTTTGTCTTTGACAATACATACCATACAAACGTAACATGTAAAGAGTGGGAAAAAGCTTGGGACCCCAATTTGGAGACCCCCATGACCCCCAAATATGTGTGATTGGTCCATGTGTATTTTTTTTTTTTTCCTCTCTCTCTCACATAGGATAATGTGGGAATTGTGGGGGTGAAATTTTTGTAGGGTCTCGATCAAAAGTACATAAGCTTCCAGAGGCATTTGTGGCTCTTGTTTTTGGAACAGTCAGTTTGGTTGGAAATGTGATTATTCATTATTCAGAGCAGTATAAAGATTTTCTTTCTTGGCCAAAATTAATTTCATTAATGAAAAATAAGTACAGGTAGAAACAAAGATTCAGAAAAGTACACAGAAACATCATCAAAGCCTAAGCAAAACACAGATTAAGGGATAAGTAAAAATAAATAAAAAGCAGTCCAAGCGTAAGGGGAAGTTTGCACTCAACTGGAAAGAAATATATTACAGAGTATGCAGATTACTCAAATCTATTTAATGCTTTTGTATGGAATAAGCCTTAAGAAAAGAGAAACACAAAAAAGGAATAAAAACAGAATTTCCAACTACACAAGAAAGAATAAAGTGTTGGAAACTACTTGGCTGCCTTCTTTCAAGGTTTTCTGGCTCCAAGTTAGCCAAGCAAGGAGGTACTTTGTATCAGGCCTCTTTGTTTTCAGCAGTAGGATGGAAGGAATTATTAATAAAGAGATTGTTAGTGAGGGACTGTTAATGAGGGAATTAAGAAAAATTATGTTTGTTTGATAACCAGTGGATTAGTAATAATTCATATTTATTTTGAGAGATAGGAATAGGATTAACCATGTAAAATTTCACAAATACCCTTTACGTTATTATCAAATAGGGAGATTTGCTCAAAATACCCTCATGATAAAATTTTAATACATTAAGAATAAGTACAAAAAAAATTTCTTGAAAAGTCCAACAAATATCACTATTATCCAAATATTAAACTTTAAAATAATATAACTTTTGATGTAGATTTCTACTTTTAATAAAATTAATATTTTGTAGAATTCCCTCATCAAGATCTATCAAATAAGATCCATGTTAACTATGAAATTCTTTTTTTTAAATAAATTATTATCTTGAAATTAATGTAAACAGTAACACCAATAGTAACAGTCACATGTTACTTTATTTGACAATAATATTTTATTTTATTTTTTTTATCAAATTGTCCAAGAAAGAAAGAAAAAAAAAGATATTTTAATTTGTCCTTAGTCAATTATGTATTTTCTCCTCAAAAAGTTTATGAAGAAAAATAAATTGAACTATCCTTTTTACCAAATAAGGATCTAATGAAAGGGTTTTGACTAAATTTCCCTTGGACTTTTACGAACTAAAGAATAAATCAATTTTTACTCAATGTTATTCTTCTTTTTCTTTTCTTTTTTTAATATTAAAGAATCCAACTATCAATTTTTTTTACTCAATGTTATTTATTTATTTATTTATTAATATTAATGAATCCAACTATCAATAAATTTTTACTCAATGTTATTCTCTCTCTCTCTCTCTCTCTCTCTCTCTCTCTCTCTTTATAAATATTAAAAAATCCAATTATCAATAAAATTTTACTCAATTCTTTGTGTTTAATATTACATGAACCATATTATGAAAAATTGTGTTTGTTTGTAATATATTTTAGTGAGAGTATTAACTATATGAAATACCATAAATACCCTTTGGTGTTTTTGATATATTTTAATATTAAAAATTATATTTTTGTACTATATTATTTTATGTTGATATTTTTTTTTGATATAAATATATTATTATACTATTTTATTTTAATATTAAAAATTATTTTTATATTAAATTAATTTTATAAAATGAGGGACAAAATAGTATTTTTACCTCTAATCCCATGAGATTAGATATCAATACCACCTTCCCATGGGATTGCTAATCCCCTCCTTAGAGACCTTTCATAGTCTCATGAGACTCTTAATCCCTAATCACTTTCCAAAATAAATATAATTTTTTAAATCTCACCTCACTATTAATCCTAATCTAAACCGCCACCTCTAAAAACAAACAGGGGCAAGACCACACACCGCGATGAAACTTTATCCCAAGTAATTGGCTATGGTGAAGCTTAAAGGAAAAACCATTGATTAGACAGTAAAAATATATACTTGACTAAACATCAACATATTTGGTATGTTTGGCATAGTATTTTGGGGTTATTTTAGGTATAAAAAGATAATATAGATTAAGAAGTTAATAATATAAAATATCACATTTAAATTATAATCATTTTATTTTTTCTCTTATAAAAGTTAAAAAAATCAAAAAATTTATCATAAATGAAACTTTTTAACTCCAAACTAAAATAACTAAAAAATCAAAAAATTAAAAAGACAACCTACATCCTAAGGAAGGCAAAGTATATTACACCTTGACATAATTTTTAGAATAATGCTATATGCATAAATTAGTGTACTAACTAATGTATCAATTGATGATGTGACATAATTTAAAAACTTTTTAGTGTTTGTAATTTATATAATGTATTGTACTTTAATTTGAGGTGTATCATAGGTTTATTTTATGCTCTAAACCGTTGGTTTTGTAAGGTTTGTTAAGTATTTCATGCCTACCAAAAATTATATTAATCGGATATCAATAACTATATGATCGCTAATCAAAAAATAAATAATAAGTTTTTTTTTAAGAAATAACATAAAAAATATGTAATTCGATCATATAGTTATTGATATCCGATTAATATGATTTTTAGTAGGCATAAAGTACTTAACAAACCCTACAAAATAAACAGGTCGGATCATAAAAATAAACTCATAATACACTTCAAATTAATGCACAACAATAACCCCATCTTCCCGTAATAATAATGTTAAGACCCAACCAAAGCCATTTAACCATGCCCTATTACCAATGTTAGCTTACCATATACTAAGGACGTATTTTTTATGAGATTTTTATTGATAAATCATATATAGGTGTGTTTTAATTCAAGAAGTTCATGAAGGAAATTTATAATCCCCTTAATACCATATATTTATACCTTTATTTCATAAGGTCTTTTTTTTATTATTATTTACACTATTTTTTTGAACTATTATACTCTTATATTTAATGTTGATATGCATTAATTACATACTACTATTTAATGTTGATATACATTACACACAAAAAATTGAACATGATTATTTATTAATTGTCATTATGTTTTAGTAATTCTCATGCATCCAAATGTTGACTATATGTAATGACGTGAATGTCCACATCAAATGACATGAATGTTCACATTAAAACATATGAATGTGAATACAAATGTTAATGTTCATAATGTTAATATTTATATTTCAGAATTCATGTGAACATTTACATTTATATATTTTAGTGTGAATATTCACATCATGTTTATATTCAAATGAAAGTTGGGGCTTGTGGTTATGTAATTTGATACAATGTTAATGTGAACCTTAACATCACCTTTACAACAACGTTATCTGATGTGAACATTCATGTTCACGTTATCTAATGTGAACATTCACGTCATTACGTACAGTCAACATTTGGATACATGGGAACTACCAAAACATAATGACAATTAATAAATAACCATATTTAATTTTTTGTATGTAATATATATCAATATTAAATAGTGATGTGCAGTTAATGCATTTTTTTGTAGTGAAGATATAGTGACAATCAACGTTAAAGGAAGCAGGAGAGATTTAGGGTGTTTTGGTTTTCTTATCTTAAATATGACTTAATAAAATAGTAAAAAAAAATATAGGTTGCATGAAATAAAACTCTTAGAAAGGGGATTTATTAAAAGAACTCCCATTTGTTTTCAAAGGTAGAATATGGGGATTTATAGTAAGGAAATGATAGTAATGGAATTAAATAAAATTATGTTTATTTTGATGATAGTTGTTGGTGTAGGGATTGTTAAATTATTTTGATATAAAATAATAAAACAACTAAAAAAATACAAAAACATTAAACATTAATATTCAAAAAAATGCCCAACATGTAAAAAATAAAAAATAAAATTATGATTTTTATTTAACAAAAAATATAAAAAATTAAGCACTAATGTTCAAAAAAAAATACCCAACTAGTAAAAAAAATAGTTCGGCGAACTATTTTCTAATACTAAGTCTCAAGTCTCTATTCTAATCCTCTCCTCATCCTAATCCGGAGGGGATTATAAATTCTCATTCCATCTCTCAAAACAAATACAATATTAATGAATATCACGTCAATTTTAATCACGATTCTTCCTCTATCTCTCATAAAAAGTGAACAACAAGCAACTTTGCTCCGCTATTCTAGCAACAAGAAGTCATGAATGTGAGGGGGCAAAAACATGCCATATAAATTAATAAATTTTAATGCTTGAAAGGGATTTTTATTGATAAATTTTATTTAGAAGTGTTCTAACTTAAGAAGTTCATGAAGAAATTTTTTAACCCATTTAGTTCCATGTATTTATACTTTTATCCCATAAAGTCTTTTTTTTTTTCTTGATTTACACTATTTTCTTAGACTCTTATGCCTTTATATTTAATATTGGTATTTAATGTTGAGGGAGGAAAGAGAAGGGAAAGGACCAAGGCATAGGAAATTTTATACACAAATTAAATAATATTGATGTTATTATTTTATATTATTATATAATGTGAATATATTTTTAATTGACAACGCATTAAAAATAATGTGAACATTCTCTCTCATCTGATGTGAACGTTCACAACACCTTTCCGAAAAATTCTCTCTCATCTAATATAGTGATGTAAACATTCACAATATGTGAATCTTCTTATTTTTAATTGACAACACATTAAAAATAATGTTCATTATTTTCTTAATTGACAACGCGTTCTTATTCACAACGTGTAGTGATGTGAACGTCACAACATATAAACATTCTCTATCATCTAATGTAGTGATGTGAACGTTTACATTCATATGCTTTAGTATGAATATTCACATCGTGTAATTGACAATACAATGACAAAAATTCATTTCAAATTAATGTGAATATAATGATGTGAATATTTATTTCAATTACATGATGTGAATATGACAACACAATGACAAAAATTTATTTCAAATTAATATGAATATAATGACAATTAACATTAATAGGAGACAGTAAAGATTGATGGTGTTTTAGTCTTTTTATCTCAAATAAAATCTAATGGAATAATTAAAAAGAATATGAATTAGATGGAATAAAACCCCTAAAAAAAAGGATATATCAAAAAAAACTCCCTATTTGAGACAAGATAATTATAGTAAAAGATTATTTAATATATGACATTTTTTTTCCAATCAAACATGATCGCAAGCAAAGCACCTATACAAATAAATTTTTTTTTTTTTTTACAAATTAATATTTCATTGGGTTATTCCAATCATTTAACTCTATCAGACTTGATTTTTAATTTAAATTTGATTTTGTAAGAAAAAAGTTTCAAAAATATTAGAAATCTCAAAAATTCTATCAAATATCTCACATAAGTGTGAGATTTATACGTGTGAATCTCATACTTATGTAAAACATTTAGTAAAATTTTTAATAGAATTTTAAAAATATCTAATATTCCTCGGAAAATTTACTTGTATGATACGTTTGTGGCAGGCATCCATCAGCTTGGCTTCCCAAAATCTCAGCCTGACGGCTGGCACTTCAAGCAAGCAAGCTCGAAACAAAGAAACACAACAAGACAAAACCAAATATAAAGGAAATCAAAGAAAAGGCCTAATCATATACATCATCATGTTCAGAGATACAAAATGAGTTAGTGAAGAAGTGAGTGTGTATGGATGAGAAAATGGGGACAAGGGGGGACGATGGAATAGAAGTGATACTGAGAAGGTTTGGAGATGAACAGAGCACACTGTTGGACCGCTTCGAAAGGCTCTCTTTCGAGGTCCAGTTGAACCAAGCCATTCTGGGTCGCAGCCTATCCGAGCCCAGTGTCTCACGGGGTTGGACCCACCACCACCAAGCACCACCACCGGCATTGCGGGTGGCTCCACCAGCTATGGCGTCTCAAGTTCAACAAGGGAAGCGGCGTCGTGGGTCGGGTTTCCAGAAAGTTCTGAAGAGGTTGCTCAAACCCATTCTCAGAAGAAGATGGGGCAGTGGGAAAAAGGAGAGTCCCGATCCCAAGGACCCAATGTTTTGGAAGACATTTAGTCGATCCATGCGTGTTTGAATCAATCATGACCCAATAATTTTGTTTATTTTATGTTCACATTTCTCAGTTATTGTTACATTTTGCATTATTGTCTTCGTACTACATTGTTCTTACTACCAATAAAAATAGTTCTCCTAGTTGTGGTTCTGAACAGTTTTCTTAGTTGCGGTTGTTATTATCAAATCGATTTAATTTTTTTTATAAATGATATATATGAAAACATATTATAAAAACAAACGGTTTAAATTATTGAATAAGAAATTCACACCCAACCCTTTATTTTAACAATATTCAAAGTCTTCAACGGTTGAGAATCTCACACGAAGTCCACACTAATTAACGGTTGAGATACAGTCTGCAGCATGAACAACATCTCCATAGTGACAAACTTCAAAACATTGGCACCACTCCTCCTTCAATAATACTATCTTTAAACTCCGTTCAGTCTCCAGTGTTTCTCTCTCTTATCTCCCTCATGCCTTCTTCATTTCCATCTCTATGTCCACCTTCCACCCTTCCTCACTTCCCCATTCCATTTCCTTCCCCTAAAAGCCCCATCTTTTTCAGCAGCCACTATACTACCCAACAAACAAAGCTAGTTCTCTTTGCCACACTGCCTACTTCTACCAGTAATTCTTCACGGAGCTCATCATCAAACACTCTCAGTCTTGCTAAAAGAAAAGATATATTGTGCTCAAAACAGGTTTCTGATTCAATTCATAAGAAAAATGTCTTACCCACCAAAGAGAAATCCAACCTTGATTTTGATAGGAAAAGCAGTAGATTACAAGTTCAAGATTTGGTCAAAAGGATTAGAGCATTACCCAATTCGCAGAGAACCAGAATTGTTGATATCATGGAGACAGATGGTGGATTTCAGACCATATCTGACTTCAATGATCTTCTCATGGCTTTGGTCACAGAAGATGAGCTTGAACTTCCCTTGGAACTGTACTCTAATCTATCCTATTATGGGTTGGTGCCAGATTGCTGGACATTTTCTATTATGATCAGGTGTTACTGCAAGAAAAACGAACCGAGTGAAGCCAAGAGACTTGTAGACCACATGTTTGAAAATGGGTCTCAACCAACTGTTGCAACTTTCACTGTTCTAATCAGTGCAGTCTGCAGAAGTGGCAGAGTCCAGAAAGCTCTAGAGGTTATGGAGATTATGCGTCGAATCAATTGCAAACCAACAATTCAGACATACAATTGCTTGTTGAAGGGGTTGTGCTATGTGGGGCAGGTGGAGAAAGCTTATGAATTGTTGATGAATATCAAAAAAACTTCCATGAAACCTGACGTTTATACGTACACAGTGATCATGGATGGCTTTTGCAAAGTGGGTAGATCAGATGAAGCCTATGAATTGCTTGATGAAGCTCTTGAGATGGGATTGATCCCCAATGTGGTCACTTTCAATACTCTGTTTACTGGGTATTTCAAGGAGGGGAGGCCATTAGAGGGTATTGGTTTGTTGAATCTAATGAAGGATAGAAATTGCATACCTGATTACATCAGTTATAGCACCTTGTTGCATGGTTTGTTGAAATGGGGTGAAATTCACACCGCGCTGCGGATTTATGAGGAGATGGTGGGGATTGGTTTTCAAGTGGATGAGAGAATAACGAACACTCTATTGAGAGGGTTGTGCAGGAGATCTCGGAAAGAGAGAGAGATGTTAGAACATGCCCACCAAGTATTTGAGAGAATGAAGAATGGGGCTGCTGTCATTTATTCTTGTACGTACGACCTAATGATTGAAGTTTTCTGCACTGGGAAGGATATGTACAAGGCTATGGTCAATTTACGTGAGATGGTTGAGGTTGGATATGCTCCCAAGAATATCACCTTCAACAATGTCATTCGAGCACTTTGTGTTGAGGGAAAGTTGGAAGAGGCATTGTTGGTTTTAGTCCTCATGCATCGAGGAAGTTCAGTCCCCACCAAGATTTCTTTCAACATTTTGATTAGTGAGTTTAATCGACAGGGAAGGCGGTTGGGTGCCTGTAATGTGTATGGTTCTGCATTGAAAGTAGGTGTGATTCCAGAGAAGGAGCCTAGAGGATATTCAACTGAGAGAAAAGCTCTTATTTGACATGTTTAGATTCATATTATTACGGAGTAGTCACCGCAAATAGAGAAATTAATAGATGCTCATTAATTTGTAATTCAACATCAATGGCTATGAGTTATAACGACAAAACCATTCTTCTAATACAAAATCAGTTATTTGCAATGAGATTTTTCTTACTAATACAAATTTCTTTTGTTCTTGGCAAAACAGTTGAGGATTGTATCTTGTTTATGATCCAAGTCTGAATGGGCACGCTGTTGCATCCAAATGGACCAAGAAACATCCAGTAGGAAATAAGTACAAATGGATTGGGAGGATCTTCTACAGATGAAAAAGTAATCTTTAAGCAATTATGCACGGCTCATGTATTGCCCGGTTCTAGTATCCACCATTATTGCTTGGCCTCTATCTACAAATAGTGGAACACTAACAACGGCGCCTGTCTCAAGTGTTGCAGGTTTAGATCCACCTGCCACATAAAGCAAGATCAAATAGTTATTCAACACTATCTTGGATAGTAAACATTATAATTATCCAATTGTTGATCCATTTCCAAAAGGGTCAAACACTCCAACACTAGTACCCTAATCATGGACAATCATTTGTACAAAACAATAACATGGAGCATCTGCTGTTGTCATCCCAAGCCATTGTTTGATGGGCAAATGCATTGCCATGGCAGAAGATATGTCTAAGAGATAACGAAGAACACTACCTTGTGCTGTGTCACCTTTAAGGCCAGGATCAACCTCAACCACAGTCAACTTAACAGTGATGGGGAGTTCAAAATCAATAACCTGCAACCATTACAACATTGAAATGCTGTTATCCAGAAAGCGGAAAGGAGGAAATATGGAGAGTAGGGATTCAATCCTGTGTCAAAGAGCAGTCCCCAAAATACCATTTCCAACTTATATTGTGCCTTTTTTTTTATTTCTTCTCTTCTTTTTTTTTTTTTTCCTTTTTTTTTTAATTAAAGAAATTAAGAACTGAAAGAATAATCCAAAGACAAAATTGGAAATGAAACATACTTTCCCATTCCAAAACAGCAAATTGCAGTCCATGCCTTCTTTCAACCACTTCGTCTTATCTCCAACAAATGACTCATTAAGACGATATTCCTCATATGTATTCTGAAAATAAAAAAATCCCAAATTTAAGAAAGACGCATAGCTCAAAAAAAAAAAAAAAAATTGATGTCAGAGAAGAGAAAAAGCCTTCCAAAACTGAAGAAAAACTGGGAGTATGAATTAGCTGAGAACAATATAAAGTGAAAATTTCTGATTCCCATTAATCATATGAATCAGGGCATTTTACAACACTGGATATCTATGGGCTGTTTTGGTAGTGGTTCAAGATCTACAAGATAAAATCTAGTAAAGTCAGGTCCAAGTCCTTATTAAAACATCTAGTATTCATATTACAGCTACACCAGAACGCTATAAAGTAGTATGAGAAGCATAAAACTGACATCAAATTAACCAGATTTCTTCATCAGAAAGGAGAATTAATTATATGAAAATGAAAATTTTACTTGTAAAAATAGAGGAAGTACATCACCAGCCCATATGAAGCCTTTGCTGAGTTACTTTCATGGTAAGGCATATGAACAAGTCTGCAGCAAACTAGGCTTGCAGTAGCACTTTTAACATACTACATGAAAAAGATAGTGAACAATACCAGGTCCATGAAAACAAACTGGGAACCATCTTTATATGTGTATTGCTTTGTTTCCTTGTTTATATCAGCCTGCTCAATCTGGACAAATGATCACACATCAGATGGAATCAATGGGGGTAAAGTGAGATATGAGTGTCATCTATATGTTCTGAAGGAGATTGAAAACTTTGAAGTGTGATTGTGCAGTTGATGCAAGCACATGACATTGTGATTATCCTAATGATACCAGACATAACTGTGGGTACTTGTATCAAGCCCAATACGTAGCAAGCCCTACGAGTGCCACATCACCAAAACTCCACCCACATGGCAGACCAATAAGGCACCACGTGGGTATATCACATGTTTGATACATGGCGAGCCCTAAGGGCGTTGTGTGCCAGGGCACCATGCAAAACCAAGACTATATGCTTAGCGTAAGCGGGAGCATACATACAAGCCCAAATATATCTAAATATGAAGAGCCCTGCAACAGGCAGCACCATGGCCTCGCAGGGCCCATGGTCCTTCATACCTCACTTCAAGACTAAACAACAATATAATCAGCCCCCAGTTTACTTGGACTTTGATTGATAAACACTGCCTCTCCTGAACATTAAGATAGGTCCGCGGCCCATTCTCCTACTTGGTCGCTTGGAAGCGAGCCCCTGGCTCTCCTAAACATTGAGGTGGGCCCTGGCCCATTCACTTACTTGGTTGCCTGGGTTAAGAGCAGGACCCAGGCACTACTGCTCGGGATCATTAGAGGATATTGGACTGGCGGCTGAGGTTATGGGATCGTCGGGATGGTTGTCTTCTTGCAAAGACAACTCCATCTCGACTAGGCTTGGAGAAGAGGCAACAGCAACCTTACATTCATGTCATCCGATACATATATGAAACGTTACTTTCCACCTGCCATGAAACGTTGCCCTCTGCCTACCATCAAGCCATAGACGACAAAAGGGCTTATATCACTTCTGGCAGAGTTGAGGCAGAATTGAGGAGAACGAGCCACCTGTTCAACACTTTGCTTGGGCTCCAATACTCTTGTGGCCTTTATAACATATCGTATATGTTCCAAGAAACTACACCTCACCACAACACAACTCCATAACTCTCACACACTAAGTCTCACTCCCCCTCACATTCTACATTAGTGTTCAAGATCCATCACTGCCAACCTCTTCCTCTCCAAGCTTGCCTTGACCTCCTTCTCTCCACCACCGGTGATCTCAGTCCATTGAAGTGTCTGCCATCTTTCCAAACTATCTCCAACCACACCTCTCACCCACAATAACCAATCAAGAGATCTGCATACCATGAAAGGGGAAATGCTCCCTGTCAAAGCTAATATATGTAGATCTAAAGCTAAAGCTAAGTTATGTAGAACCTAAGGTAAGGAATCTTGAACAGATTCACATGACTGGTAGTGCACTGAGGGCTCTAGAGGTATTTTAACAAGTTCAGGCATGTGGCTGCACCAAGTGAAGTACCATGCAGAGACTTAATGTTTGATCATTAGCTTATCAACATTGGGTATCTAAGCAAAGACCAAAATATGGTTGGTTAAAACATGGTACTAACAATTTATAGCATTTCAACTATAATTAATCTGTTTGTTCCAAGTTCCAACAGCCTTAATTTACATCCACAAGCACAACGATGTCCAACTATGTTAATGTGCCAAGTAGGGAAAACTCCAGCAAATGCCACTTAGCCATGATTGTGTGGCCTCAGTCTACTCACCACAAGATAGCACAGTTGAATTTCATGAAATTGGTTAAGAAGCCAAATTTTGAGTTCTTGGCAAAGATTATTATATGTTGACCAAACAAAAATCTAACAGATTGCAATTCAAGCATTGCAGAGGGGGTAAAATACTCTTCAGTCTGCCCCAGTTTAAATAATGCATTATCAAATGTTCAACAAAATCTTCAGGTTCCAAAGAGATTACATAAGAAAATCTACGTACGACCAATGTAAGTACAAATAAATGGGACAACAAAACAAGAATAGTAGAGGAGATTAGTTTCGAGTTCAACTAAAATTACCTTACTTCCAGCACGAAAAGTTTTCTCAACAGAGTTTCCTGTCACATAATTTCGCAGTGTGGTTCTCACATAGGCAGCTCCTTTACCAGGTTTCACATGAAGAAACTCTACACAGTTCCATTGTAAACAAATTTGAGGAATTAAAATCAGAACAGAGGAGGCAATTCTAGAGTCTATACATCTAGCCTCATCCCATGAACATATATCACACATGTTCAAACTACATGTAGCTCTTAAAAATCGAGAGCTTGCTTGTTCCAATTATTTTAGGAAACATAAATATATCAGAGCATCTCCAACCTTGACCAATTTCTTTGTAATAAAAAGCTTGATTAAATATGAACTGCTCCAATCCTCTAATAAAATTTTCATCAAAATGTTTTTAAAAATTTCCCTTTTCATCAAATTTGATGGGGAAAAAAATGGTCTTCAATTTCAATGACTCTCCCTTGATTTGATGAACATTTGCCCAAGATACCTCACTGACCATATCAATTATTTCAGAAAACATAACCACATAATAGCTTTGATGTTCCAATTGTTTCAGAAAACATAACCATATCATATCACTTATCAAACAGAAGGTGGGCATTATTATTACCAATAACTTTCCAAGGAGATCCATCGACTTCAATGTTGCTACCCACCTTGATATCGTTGCTAGAAAACGCAAATATCTCTGCAAAAACAAACACAAATTGAACAAAAAGAACTCTCCAAGGGGCTCCAATCTACTTCAATGTTGCTACATACATACATACATACTGGGGAATGTAGGACGGCGTTGCGTTCCTGGGAAAACTCGCATTGGCAGAACTGATGGCTTCCAAGAAAACGACAGAGATGATGATGATGATGATGATGGTGGTGATTGAAGGATGCATGAAGGGATCGAAGACAACTTGAAGCTTGCAATTGCTGCCATGGCTATGGAGGAATGAATAGTTAACTCAGAATGGTTTTTCTCTGAAATTGTGCCCGCGAAAAGTAAAGAGAATGGCCAAACCCAGTGGCCAAAGCCCCCTCTCTGGCCTGAAAACCTCTACCTAGATAAGGAGCGGTATTGGAAGCTGGCATTTTTTATGTTTTTGCTTTCAATAAATGAGTCACCAAAATATTTTTTAAATAAAATTAGTGTAAATTCTAATTTTGAAGATGGTTTTATTATTATAATAGAATAATTCTATCATAGAACCCCTAGTTTGAAGATGGTTTTATTATTATAATAGAATAATTCTATCATAGAACCCCTAGTTGAAATAATTTTTTTTTTTAATTATGACTAATTTTTTTTCTATAGTTATGTCATATAGTAGGAGTGTTTGTTTCAGCTTTTTAGAGTCAACTTATGACTTTTAGTTTTGAAAAAGTTATTTTGGACTATTTGGTTAAACTTATTTCAAACCGTTTCTGATTCTAACAGTTTATTTTAACTCAAAAAAGTTTATTCTGAAAAGCTGTTCACTCCTTGCTTCTGATTGTCAGTTTCTGCTGTGGACATGTTAATTTATGGTTATACTCTTAAATTTTTTTATTTTTTATTTTTTTAAAAATAAAAAAAGACTCAAATGGATTATAGATTATTATTATTATTTTTTATGAGAAATGTAGACAAACAAAAAATAAAAATTAATTGAAAAAGTTATTTCATAGCTTATTTAACAAAGACTACTTAACAATTTAAATCTATAATCCAACAGCTACACCAAACAGATTAACAACTTCTGATTAAAGTCATAATCTATAATCTGTTAAACTATAATCTATAAGCTGTTTTAACAGCTACACCAAACGGGGCCAGTATTTGGTTATAATTTTTTTTTAATTATCACTCAAAAAGTATAGGGTTATGTTACTTTTTTCTTTAATTATGTGGTGCATTTGTAATTTGATTTATGTTTTTAAATTTATTGTTTTGGTTTTCCCTTTTAATTTTATTCTCCTCATTTAAAAAAAAATATTTAATGAAAATTGGATTTGTTAATGCTATTTTTGGATCTTAAATTTAGTGAAATAAAAGAAAATGAGCTTAATTATACCTATAATTTCTTTTTCCTTTTTTATGAATAACCAAATCAAAAATATGATTTTAGGAACGATATTATTAATTTTAGAAAAAATTATCATTAAGTAGTACTTTTCTCTACTTTACAATGAGTAATATCAAATATATGTATGGATAATCCGAATTAGCCACATCACTCATGATAAAAAATAATTGGGTAAATTACACTTGGACCTACCTAAAATTTAAATTTAATACATATCACTTCCGGATGTTTAGAAATTACACTAACTCTCCTGTCATTGTAATTATTTAGATAAAATGAAAATATTAAATTCATGCACTTTTTCTTTTCTTATTTTGATTTACTTCCTCTATGTTTTTTTTCCTTTTCTTTGCTTTACTTTTTTTTTTTCAATATAATTTCATCTGTTTTTCTACTAAAAATTGTTGCCTTTTATATAAGTAGAAAAATTTGTAAAATGAGACTATTAACCACAAGATGAAAATGTAATTTCCAGAACGTCAAGGAATAAAATGTAATTGAACCAAACATCAGGGATGTCAATATAATTTACCCAAAATAATTCTTCTTTTTTACTCCATGCTATATTCTTACTCTAATCAAATAAAATACACAAACTCTCACAGATACTTATAATCTCATCTCTTACTTTACATAGTACAAATTCACAAATTCCAATTTTAATCTTATGGTATTACCAATCTCCAATAGTATCAAAAAAAAAAAAAAAAAAAAACCTTTATATCATCAAACATAGCCATATGGAGAACTGAGAAGAGACACCATACCCTACCAAACAAAGAAGATGAAACACATGTGCTAACAAAGGAGAGAGATCTCCAAGCAGGAGTCTGAAGAAAAAGAATGCTGTCTATCAACAATCAAGCATTCTCGATCAGGAGAAAACTAATTGAACTTAGTAAGGGTAGCCTTTATCTACAAAATATTGTCCCCAATATTTTCTTACTGAGGAATGGGAAGGTGGAAGAACCACATCTTTCTCTTCTACATATATATATCATGTAAAATCAACCAAAAAAGCTTAAACAAACAAGAAAAAAAGCAAAGAATGCAGTCTATCAACAATCAAAATCCTTCAACACTAGCCCTCCGACTTGTTGACGATGATGACTTCCGGCTTTCCTGTCGATCAATTCCCTACAAGGAGAGAATAGAGGAACAAGTTAGGGGAGGAAGAGACATTGGCAGCGGAGGCGGTGGTGCCCTTGTCGGAGAAATGGATGGTCTAGTCGTTGATGGAGATGGAGAGAAACAAACCCTTGGGACGGGGGTAATGATGCCATTCAGGCTTGGAGATCTTGACATATTTTTTCCAGAAATAGTTCCTGGATCTTGCAATGGAAACCGGCATGAATACTTCATGTCTTGTATGGTTTTCAGATGCTCCACAACAGTTCTCATGGTGGGCCTTCCTGAAGGATCATTCTGAAGACATCTTTGAGCTATGTCAGCCACTGTCCGAGCTGCTTTGGCTGGGAATCGGCCTTTTAACTGAGGGTCCATGATCAGTGACAGTCTACAATCATCAGCCAAGAAAGGCCGGCTCCACTTAACTAGGTTCCTCTCTTCCTTAGGATGACGGCTATCACGATTCTTCCTGCCTGTGAGCAATTCAAGAAGCACAATTCCAAAACTCCACACATTGCTTTTGGGGGTGAGAAGTCCTCTCTCCACGGTCTCCACTGAAAGGTTTGCCAATGCCTGGATAAGTAAATAAAGCAAGAAGATACTAAGTTGAGACTCAACAATATCATTACAGAAACTAAGAATTTATGGAACAAGAGACACTGGGTGAAATGGGTTAATCAAACACAATGAACCTATGACAGTTCTAGAGAGGCAAAGAGCTCATTAATTTATCAAGTCTCAGATTTTCTTGATAAAAATGTCATACTTAGTAAATAAAATTGTATAGGTCGCAAATCAGCCTTGCATTTTGGCAGCCCTTTTTATTGAAATTATAAAAATAAAATAAAAAATGATCACTCCACCGAGAGAACTTACAACTGAACTGTTGGAGATCTCTGTCTCTGGAATGTGGCTAATGCAACCATATCCTGAAAGTCTTGCACTAAAATCTTTGTCGATCTGTATATTGGCAGTTGACAATTCATTGAACATTGCCTACAAACACAAGGAGAGCATTTAGCACACACCAAGAACTATTGTGCAACAGCTTTTGCAAGGAAACAGATTGACAAGAATACTAAACTAAGAATGTTCAAACAATCATCATTCAATTTTCCAACCCAAACTGAATATAAAAATCATCAATGTTTGCTTGAGTTTTCAAAATTTGTTTTTGAAAAATTCATTCATATGTAACTTTATGCAGATAAGAAGTTCTGAATACCTGGAAAGGACCTTCCTCGTGTAAGAAAGTGAGACCTTGTGCAGCACACAAAGCAACTTTCATTCTGGCATTCCAATCAATAGGGGGACCATCAGATCTCCCATACAAAAGCCGGTCTAAGCTTCCATGGAAAAGCCTCTCGTAAACCAACATCCTTTGTTCTGATCCATCACGTGCATGGAAACCAATCAATTTACAGAGGTTAGGATGTTGCAAAGATGCAATAGTGTTCACCTCATTCACAAATTCCCTCAAACCCTGGAAGAAAGGCTCAAATGGTGAGTTTATCTCTCAAAGAGCTTAAAATTTTAAAATAATGATAAACAGCAACACTATCGATTTTCAATCCAGTATTACCAGGGTGGAGGGGTGAAGGCGAATAACAGTGGCTCCAAGTTTTTTCGAGCCAGAAGTATCATCCCCAAAGAAAGCTCTATACATTAAGGAAGAAAGACCTTCTGACATACAACATTCTGGAGAGAAATTGTGGCAAGCAGCTGCAAGTTCATTGTACAAAAAGTTCCGGAGTGTTCCCAAAGGAGGCAGTGGTAGTGGTCCAGAGGCATTGAGAGGACCACTGGTAGTCCCTGCTTTAAAGCTCCCCATAGTCTTCAGAATAGCCACGCTCTGAATCTGAGGTGATGGAAGAGGAAGAGGTTGTGGACTTGGGGGGCGTTGTTCCTTCATTGATCCAATCCGGCCCTTGGACTCTTCCTGTTCCTCACATTCCATTGAAGAAAGACCAACTTTTTCATTGAAGCTTGACGGGGCAGACAATGCCCTTGTTCTATTGCTTGTTACATTGTTTATTGGCTGAACAGGTATTACTCTGGTCCTAAAACTTGGGGGTGCAGACTGCAAAGTGCGGGTTCGGATCTGTGGTTCAGGCAATGTAGTTGGTGAATGTTCCTGAGGGTTCACGTGTCTAACATAAGTGGTCTGCCCAGATTTCTTCTTCTTATTCTTCAAAACTGTGAAACATCCCATCTTAAATATGAAACTTAAAGCTTAACCAGGTTTTATTATTTCTTCCTGCCAAATGAAAAGAAGAGAAAGAATGCATATCAACACATATGAACCTCAAAGATTGGTATAGTACTAAACTAGAACCCATATCAAATGAAATGACAAATAGTTCTATTCCATATATTTGAATATAAACCGACTCACTGTAAAACATTAATGAACAATATGAACATTTATGATTTTGCAAAGGGTTGGGGCATCAAGTAACTGATTGGCATTTTAAGATTTCAATCTTTAGAAGATATAACAAAGTACCTGGCAATGGCAACAACAACTTTATTCCACGAAATGCCTCTCTTGTAATTTTAAAGTTTCAAAATCATTTGCACTAATGACAAACATTTTTATATGAATTTATACATGTAGGTATTTGTGCCCCGCATGACCTGTCATCATCTAGATACAATGCAGAAGCCTTGCCTCGCATCATGGACTCGCCTTGCCTTGGCACCTAGCCTTGCCTAGCGTAGGCACTTCTCCTAACTTCAGCACCTCGCCTCACCTAGGCACCTCGCTTCATGGCCTTTCCTCACCTCCCCATCACTTGGCCCAAGAGTATTACCTAAACTACATAGCCTCCCTAGGTTGGAAGCAAGGCCTAGGGACCTCTGAGGGTTGGTGCCTTGGTCATGGATGCATGCGCAACTAATTCCTGAGTACATATAGTCTCCCATCCCACATACACTGCGCCTAAACCTTTGGGGTGGCACCAAAGGCAGTGGTAAATGGAACATTTAACCATTGGTCCAGCCTCAAGGTTCGAACCATGACTTGCCATATGAATTAGCCTAGTTTCCTAGCAACCGACTTCAACTACACTCACCTTCGCACTTCCCCCACATAGAGGAACTTTAGAAATCTATATCAGTTCAAACTTTTAATCAGCACCATATAACATGCAACCCATGAATTGCAATCGAACAATTTGGGCAACAATAAAACAACACAGATCTGACCGAAAGAACCAAAAACTGATGACGATTGACATGTACAAACTCAAATACAACTACCCAGCTATTACAATCATCTTAACAATATACATCAGAACTATTGAAGCTAACAAATTTACAAGTGGGTATATCTCATTTCCATGTTGAGAGCAGAATCAAACAGAACATATATACATATAAACATTACACTCTCCGATGACTAAACTTTCTGAAATGATATTCAAATTCCGAATTGGCCCAGAAAATCTGATAAAAAAATCCAAAGGAGATAGAAAAATCAAACCTGACAGCAATGGTTTCTTCAGCTTTGCAACAAAGTTTTGATCTTTGCTAGTCTTGTATGAATCAAATTTCGAAGACCAAACTGTGCAATTCAAGACTGGTGATTTGTGAGATTTGATTTGAAGAACAAATAAACACTAAAAAAGTCAAAATGAAAAGCAAACGGAAAGGTGAGGCGAGATTTTTGAAGGTGAAAAAGTAAGAAGGGGCTCTGGGGAAAAAGAGAATTGAAGCAGCAGGAAGAGAGAGAGAGAGATGAGAGAATTGCGTGAGCTCAGAGGGAAGGGGCCTCTTGGTGGAGGAAGCAGTGGTCAAAACCAACCAAATCAGCCCTTGAATTCTTCAATTAAAGAAAGATATATGTCATATCATTATTGTTTTCTATGGAAAAGTTAGCACACAACATAAAGGAATGGTTTTACACTTTTACCCCCAATTTTATGCTATTCTGCCCGTATGTTTTCAATGGTGGAGCAAGGATTTTCTCATCGCGTTTCCTTCTTCACTTCTACTTTACCATGGTTAAAATTTATTTTAAAAAAATTTAATAATATAAATTATTCTAAAAAAATTATTTTTTAATTTTTAATAAAGTAATCTAAATTATTAGATTCTTTTAAGATATCTTGACCATTGTAAAGAAGAAATGAAGTAGAGAATGTAAGGAGAGGATCGTTACCCTTCAATGGTGGGAGAATTGTTAATGAGATTAGTATTAGTAAAAGGTCTAAAAAAATTGTGTTTGTTTTTATAAGTAGTGAATTAAGTAATAATTTATGTTTGTTTTGAGAAATGAGAGTTTGATTAAGGGAATGGCTTCTGTCCAGTCTTTAATTGGACTGGACCGTCTTGTTGGGCCCGTGGAGGCCTACCACGAGTCTCGTTTTGATAATCTGAATCGTTAATATGTAGAACTTGTCAAGTACTATATGCTTGTAAAAAATCACGTTGATCGGATATCGATAGCTATGTGATCAAAACAGATTTTTGTCAACCGTTAATTTATTCACCGTCCATTTTTTTATACAAAACTGATTAGATCACATAGCTATTGATATCCGATTAACGTGATTTTTTACAAGTATATAGTACTCAATGAGTTCTACACATTGAACGGTTCAGATTATCAAAACGGGACCCATGGTGGGCCCCCATGAACCCAACAGTACGATCCAGTCCGATTAAGGACTGGACAGAAGCCATGCCTTTTGATTAATTATGTAAAATTTTATAAATATTTTTTGTATTATTATTAAATTTAGGCTTATATCAACTAAGTTCTTATTTGGCAATATCACTTTGAGTTTAAAAGTCATTAAAAAAATCAAAAAGTCAACAACTTATACAAAAAAGTGAAAGATTTCATTTTCTCTTTATTTTTTGCACATCTTTTCGTAAAAAACTAAAAATTCATTCCAAACATACTAATTTTTTTTTACCTCATATTTTAGTCAAAAAGTTACTAGTTTGTTCCCAAACGAGGCTTAAAAATAAATAAATTTTTACTCAATGCTATTCTCTTTTTCTTTTTCTTTTTTTATAGTTTTTAAATATTAAAGAATCCAACTATTAATTTTTTTTACTCAATGTTATTCCTTTTTCTTTTTTTAAATATTAATGAATCTAACTATCAATAATTTTTTACTCAATGTTATTTTTTTTATTTTTGCAAATATTAAAGAATCCAACTATCAATAAAATTTTACTCAATTATTTGTGTTTAATATTACATGAGCCATATTATGAGCCTTATTCTAAGTATTATAACAAATTTAGCAATAAACACAAAGGGTAAAATAGTCAATTAACCCATAATCTCAAGGGATTCATTTTTAAATACCACCTCCCTAGGCCACTACTAGTCTCCTCATCTAAGGCTGAGTAAGGAATCCGTGAAATCCGTAATCCGTTTCAGTCCAGTCCAATCCGATAGGTTTGGATTGATTTTTTGAATCCGTAGTTCGGTTCCAGATTGAAGAATTAAAAATCCGTAGTCTACGGATTGGTTCCAGATTGAACCCACGGTTCTGGATTGGAACCGATCCGAACAGTATATAAATAGTCTATATTTTTATTATACATCATCTCCCATAGTATCTTCTCTTATTCTATATAAAACCTAAACTCAAACCTAAATTCGTATAATATCTTCTTTTATTACTTTTGTTTGTTAGTTTTTAGTTTTAATTTGTAATGGTTTAAATGCTTATGGTGAAACCAGTTTTTTTATGGTTGTTTAAATTCTAAAACAGTATGTTGTTATTATAGAAAAACATGTTACTGTTGTGAAACTAATATAGCGCTATATTTATATTTTTAAGAAATTAAAGTGTTAAATATATTTTTTTTTTGTTATTTAATTATGTGAATCCGTGGTTCTAAATCGATCCAATCCGTGTTTAAATGGATTGGTTCGGATTGGTTCCATGATTTAAACGGATTGGATTGGTTCCAATTTTCTAGGAACCGTAGATAACGGATTGGCCCTGGTTTTACCCCAATCCAGTCCAATCTGGACCATGCTCACCCCTATCCTCATCTAAGGTCTTTCATAGTCCTATGGGACTTTTAATCCCATGTCCACCTTCCAAAACAAACACAATTTTTTGAATCCCACCTCACCACTAATCCCAATCACATCCTCTAACTCTAAAAACAAGTGGGGCCTTAACCAGATGCTACAGTTAGGTGATAGTGCTAATATTTTACAAAATGACTTTAATATCCCTAAGAGGGGGATGTAATCGGTTCGGTACGGTAAATATTTAAGTAAAAAATTTTACCAAACTGATAATAGTGATTTTATTATTTTGAATACCGATACAGCGCGCTTCTCCTATTGAACCGCATCAATGCGGTCTGGTTCGGTGCGGTTTAATCGATCTAAGACCTTTCAAACTTGAATTGCTTTTAAATATAATCACTAATTTATATAAAACACATTAAATTTGTTATTTTTCCACCATTTCAGACATATTCAATCCATTCATTTAATAAATATTTTTCAATTCCTAGATTAACAAAAAGAAAAACAAAAAAAAAAGGTTAAAAATACTAAAATTTCAAAAATAATGAGTTAAAGTTAAGATTATATATAATAAGAATTTACAAACCTAAGTTATAAAGATGATAAGGCTAATTAATTAAGGTTAATAATTTATTATATTTATTAATATCATTATATTATTAGATTATATATATGTATATTATTATAAATACAATATATGTTGAAATAGTTGGTTTCGGTTTAGTTCCGTGCACAAGGTGTTTAAACCGATACCGAATAGAAAATTGAAAAAAATCAAATTTGAAAACCACACAAATTGATTCTTATTAAAAAATAGACCAAATATAATTAGTTTGGTTCGGTTCAATCGATTTAGTCAATTTTTTTTTTATTTTTTTTACATTCCTACCTAAGAGATCATACAATAAAGTGATATTTTTAGAGAAAATTATACAATAATTCCAGAGTACCACGTGGCCATACTCCTTCACCAATCATCATTCATTATATCGTTTCATATTCCTCAATCATTCAACACAAATAGTTAATACTTTACCTTCTTCACAATCATACTATCATAGAGTACAACGTCACCATACTCCCGATCTATCGAAATTTTGAGTTATGGATATGTTTGGTGCAACATTCAATAAGTTGAAACTTATTAATCAAAAAGTATAAACTTATTGATACAATTTATATGAGTTGTTATAACTTATTTTTATTTATTTTGGGGGCTGGTACCAAATTGTTTTAAGTGTAATTTCTACTTTCAATTTACTAGTTAAAATTAGTTTTAAAATTTTTTTAAAAATGATTATATAAAAGTTGTGATAGAGGTATTTTTGGTTTTTACTTTTTATTATTAACTTCTACTTATAAAAATTGCACTAAACAGGCCTAATTGTATTTTTTTTTTCCTTACTTCGTGATAGTAAAAAAAATCAAGGGGGATTGACCAATAAATCCCATTCAAGGGGGATTGACCAATAAATCCCATTTTGTGATCTTGTAATCCATGTAATCCTAAATGTTTTCTTATAGACTGTGTAGTCTTTTTTCCTAATTATGGACTGTTTTGCCATTGGTTGTTTTTTTTTTAAATGTATTGAGTGTTCATTTATGGGAATACGGGTGTGTGTGTTTCACGTTAATTCAAAAAGTATACTAGTATGGTTTTTGTTTCTGTGTGACATGCCCAAAATGTGGGATGTGGAAACATCATCAACAAGTGACATCACAGTGTAAGCCGCCCAACCAACCCGGATTGACGACGCCAATTGTGAAGAAGAATAATGGTTGAACCAGTGGGTTTGTGGGTTGTCACGCACAACCCCAAAATAGGGGATCCATATTGGGTGGTGCATCCCCAAATTGGAAACAAATTCCGTTTGAGGAAGTCGATGGAAACCGTAGATGTGTTCGACTATCATATGTGGTGTTTGAAATTTGAAAAATACCACGATTGCATCCCACGTTTGTGATTCAAAAAATACCGTGATTGTATCCCACGTTGCAAGCAACATTCGATGAGTTGTGTTGAAACAAATTTGTGATTCGAAACATGATAATTGTGTTTAAATCAACCCAAACCAACAGTCAAAAAGTGTTTTTGCTTAAATAGATTGAGTGGAATTTGTATGCTTGGCATAACTAGCCATACAAAAATTATTCAGAAGAGCTCTTTTGAATCTTAACAAGATGCCCACGAGAGAGATGAGTTCTCAGTCACAACAAAAACCACCGAGCCCATATCCTCCCCATGTGGTGTGCATACCATGCCCAGCACAAGGCCACATCAACCCAATGCTGAAACTAGCAAAGCTGCTCCACCATAAGGGCTTGCACACCACCTTCGTCAACACTGAATTCAACCACTGTCGCCTCCTCAAATCTCAAGGCCACCACTCCTTTTTCGACACCGCCTCCTTCCGCTTCAAAACCATTCCCGACAGCCTTCATTTTGCATAACTTCTTCGATCCCTTCAGAGTCCTACTCGCCAAACTCAACCCTCCGGAGACTTGCGTACATAGTTTCAGATGTTGTAATGGGGTTCACTGTGAAAGCAGCTCAAGAACTGGGCGGCATCCTTGATGTTTTTTTCAACACTTCCAGTGCTAGTGGCTTCATGGCCTATATACAATATCCAAAACTCATGGAAAAGCGTCTTACTCCACTCCAACTACTATTTATTTTTTTTAAATTGGAAAAATACCGTGATTGCATCCCACATTGCAAGCAACATTTGACACCCAAACCTTACATTAGTCGCATGTGTTTGCCACTCCAAACGATGTAACAACTCATTGTAAACATATATGCCACAAA